ACTTAAATCCATTATTGAATCTTACTTAGTGGAATATTGTCTTGAAATAAAATCTCAATTTTAGCAACGTTTCATTAGAATCTTCACGTTTATTAAGAATAAAAATAATAAAGGTAAGATATACTAAGTTACTCCTATTTATTATTCATCCGTCTCATATTAGTTGTCCACCTTACTAAATCAAAAAAACATTAAAAAAAAATTCTAAATTACTTTTGCAATTAATTTTTTTTGAAAATGTTTATATTTGTTTGTAAAATTTCCAAGAAGTTCTTTAAGGGGTGAAATAGTAAATTATCGTCTTATTTATGATTTCTTAAACATCGCTTAAAATAAAAAGTAATCAATTAATATAAAAAGGAGGGAGTAGATATCTTTTGAGAATTGAACACTATTAAAAGTAGGAATTTTTTAAATATAAGAGTATAATTGAAAACCATTAGTTTTTTTAATTTTAAATATATAAAGCGATACTTATCTTATTTTTTAAAATTGAAGCACACTTATTTTGAAGCGTAGAAAGATAGGATGAAAAAACACCTACACTTCATGGCTAATCAGAATTATCCCACTAATTGTGATTTGTTTAACGTTTTAATCAGTACTAAACTGGTGTCAAAGGTATCTTTATCATGTGGCACACTCATAAACTTAACCAGCCACCTCTTCATTAAGTGTATTTTACTAAAGAAAGTTTAAGCTTTAATTTAGTGATATCCTCGATAATATAAAAAAATATTGGTTTTTGATTCGGTGTTTAGAGTCTATGTTGGATCCCCAATTAAATTTGGATCACGCACTGCAGGATCCATTCGGTAGTGGCGCTCTCAATAAAAAAAAATTCTTCATATTCAAGGTTCGAACCCAAACTTTATATATAGAAAAAGTTTAATGACTATTTGAAAATACGTGCGCCAGATTAAGGGTGATAAACTTGTAAAAAAATTTAAAAAATATGTTCCTGTACATTTGTACTATGGTATTAGCTGACAATATTTTAGATACGTTGTATCCATCGAACGGATCGTGCAAAGGATGAGGTAGATTGCATTTAGCAGGAGGAGGAACAATGGTAGCTTGAAAATCTTGTGCATTATTAAGAGAAATTGAATGATACAAAGTAGAAGAAGGCTTGGTTAATTAAGGTTGTACGCTTGGCTAAGCATATGAAGCAGGGCATAGCTCTCGCTCGCCCCTCTCTCTATTTTAGTGTATATGACCGTAAAAATTGATGTATCTTTCTGATTATATAGTAAAAGAATTCTTAATAAGTGGTAAGATATGTAATTACTTAAAAGTATAGATAAAATTAGTATATATAATATGAATGTATGTCTAATAAGATAGTTTTTTCAATAATCTACCACGTGTTGCTTTTAATGTTCCTAAAAAGTTCCAATAAAAAATGACACAAATAGCCTTTGACTTTTAGATTTTCATATCCGCATTTTAAATCATTTTGCGCTTCTAAATAAATGACCGGTCCTTTATCATGATCAGAGGCGTATCTAAGGGGTCATCGGGTTCACGTGAACTCATGGTCCCCTCCCGAGATTATATGTAGTAGTATTATATTTAAAAAAAAAGATTGAAATATAATGTGTGAATCCACACTTGAAGTATCACATAATGCGATTATGACTGGTGCACCTCTCTCCGCGAGGTTAGAAATTTGAATTTAATATTTATCTTGTTTTATTTTTCTTTCTAAAATTAGATTAACACTTCTCTAAGTGGTAATTGCTATATATATATAGAGAGAGAGACCTATAATTTTAAAATTTTAACGGTTTTCAGTAGTAAAAATTTAAATGTCGAATCGATTAAATTTATATCATAGATTAATATTTTTATAATAGTGCACTCATCATCTCAAAATCCTAGATACGGCTCTGATCATGATATTGTGTTAGTATATGATGTATACTAGGTTGGTATCATAAATGATTGAGTATTTTTGGAAAGGAATAAATGATCAATGCTCCATGATATATAATTATATATCATGTGGCATAAAGAGCTGAGTAGTGTTTTTTATGAAAAGTTACGAGTAAGTCTTTTATAATATTTTGTATGATATTATATCAAATATGAGGGTGTAATATAATAGCATTCTTCAACTAATATTGATTTGATATATTATATGCTAGACTAAGTTAATTTTTTATAATTAATATCGAAAAAACATAAACATACAAAAGTTTCACTACATCAATCACCTTTTTATTTGTATATAGAAAAAAGAACAAAAGTAAATGAGTCAATAGGTGTGTGGAGAAAATCATGTTGGGAGCGCCACCTTCGAATGGGCCTTGCAGTGCGCGATCCGAATTTAGTTGGAGCTTCAATATGGATTTCGAACACTGGGTGAAAAACCAAAAAGAAAAAGAAAAATAGGTTTGTAAAATTAAATTATAAAAAAAAAATTGAATTCTTTTTTTATAACAACATCAATAATATATCTGATATAATCATGAAATTTAGGGAGGATATATAAAGTGTACATAAACGTTGTCCCTATTTTGGGACATAAAGAGATTATTTAAATTCCAATTACCCTGGCTCAAGTATAACTGTTTCAAAGCAATGGGAATGAAGAAGTTGCAATAAAACATTGAGGGCTCGTTTGGACATGCAATTTTGAATCATGATTTGAAATCAGAAGTTTTATTTGCATATGCAACTTGAAATCTTTAAGTTATTTTTTCTCGTAAATATGAAAACTTCATAAGTTATGAAAAATATTAAAATTTTCACAACTTATACAATCTTACCAAATGAACAACCATAATTCATAAAAAAAATATTAGAATATCTTAAGGCGCCACTTTGATCAAACTTTCAATTACACATAAATATATAATGATTCACTGGGCAATATTAGTAATAACTAGTTGTTCTTTAATATAATTATTTCACATGGTACGTATAATCTCTTCACTCCAAGTATGAGGCTTTTTTTTTTTATATAAATTTTAAAATGATGAGTCCTTTTTGTTTATACAAAATATAAATTTATTTGTCAAGTTTTACATATTTAAAATAAATAATATTACGATTTATATTTCAAATCATGATCCAAAATTACATATTCAAACAATGATTTAAAATTATGAATGCATGTCCCATGTTCAAACACAAGCTTAAGAAAACATGCTAGAGCTTTCTTCTAATTAATTTAAAAATAGAAAAGGAAAAAAAATTAATTTATAAAAATAAACTTTCTCTTATTTAGGTTTTAATAAATAAACTAGTGATTTTTTTTTTAATTACTTCTTATTATAATATAAGTATTTATTTTATATTTTTATTTTTCTAAAAATAATTAGCCATTATTTTATATTTTTATTTTTTAAAAACTAAAACAAAAAGCTAAAACTAACAAAAAAAAAGGACAATAACAAAGCACTGCAGTGATGATGTCACGCTAACGTCAGTTTCAAAAAATAAATATTTTGGATTATTTTTTTCGACTAAATTAATTGGTTATTCTCGTATAAATACTTTACCTTTAATAAGCACTTAAATTGTTTACCCAAAAAAAAAAAAAAAAGAACGTTGAGGATTTTTTTAATTAAGAACTAAGCTGACCAAAATAGTCTAGCTTTGGACATTCAATAGGTGGAAAGAAAAATATATTTTTAATGGGCATATATTTTTAACGGAAAAAGGTAAAAAATATTCTTAAACTATACGAAATTGAATAAAATTATTTTCAGTTTATAATTTGATCTAACAATATTTATGTCGTAAATAACTTAGTCTAAAAATATTTTTATTGTTGTTAAATGGGTCAAAAATATCATTTTCTAAATAAATAATATATGAATTTATATTTAGGTAATAAGTTATACTTTTTACAAAAAAAAAAAAAAAAGAACGTTGAGGATTTTTTTAATTAAGAACTAAGCTGACCAAAATAGTCTAGCTTTGGACATTCAATAGGTGGAAAGAAAAATATATTTTTAATGGGCATATATTTTTAACGGAAAAAGGTAAAAAATATTCTTAAACTATACGAAATTGAATAAAATTATTTTCAGTTTATAATTTGATCTAACAATATTTATGTCGTAAATAACTTAGTCTAAAAATATTTTTATTGTTGTTAAATGGGTCAAAAATATCATTTTCTAAATAAATATATTATTTGTATTCTTTTAAATACATTATTTTTTAATAATATTTTTAATTAGAAATAATGTTTAATCCGAGTATTTAATAAAATATTCTAAAAAAAATTAATGAGCGGATTAAATGTGAATATGGTTAGTTATTTAATAACGACAGAAATGAACTTTGCCGGAAATGGAAAAGTCATTATGCCTTAATTTTCTTCTTTAAGGTTACATAAATAATCTTCCTTTTCTTTATAAGGTATAAAATGGAAAAGTCATTATGCCTTTATTTTCACATTTATTTATATGCCAACTCAGAAAATATAATACACAATTTAAAACAATTCTAATTTTATCCAAAGAGAAAATAATAGAATTAATCACTGAACTTTGATAGTAAGTTCAAAATAGTCCTCGAAGTATTAAAGTGTATTTTATCGGTCATGTAAGATTTTTTTTCCAATCAAAGAATATTATAAATTTTCATCAAAATTACAGAAATCATAACATAAAAAATTACACAAGACAAAAAAAAAACCAAAAAACATACCTCAAAAAATTAAACCAAACTCTTGAAATAGACCGAAGATATATTGTAGTTCCAACTGAGTTTGGTTATATATCTTTTATTTTCATAGTTTCGATTAAATTTAACAAATATAATTCAATTAATATATAATAAAGACTAAAAATCTTATTTTTTGACAAATTTAATAACCAAAATTGTTCCGTACATACTTAAGTGACTATTTTGAACCTATCCTCGAACATAAAAGGATCATTCTTGTTATTTTCTCTCAAATCTTCTGCCTTAAATATCTCCTCAATTTCTCCCTTTTTTTTCATTTCAAATACATTAAAAAAAAAAAAAAAAGAGAAATCATGGGAAAAGGTGGTGGATGTGTTTCTAGCAAAAACAAGAGTTCCAAATCTTCAAATTCTTCAAAAAATCCCATCAATGTTCCTTCATCAACCAAAAACCTTAAAATCTTTATCGTGTTTTACTCGATGTATGGACACGTGGAGAACTTATCAAGAAGAATGAAGAAAGGAATAGAGACCGTGGAAGGTGTGGAAGGGGTACTGTATAGAGCACCCGAAACGATGTCTGAAGATGTCCTTGTGAAAATACAGGCCCCACTTAAGGATGACTCTATTCCCGAGATATCATCACCATCAGATCTTGTTGATGCTGATGGGTTCTTGTTTGGGTTTCCCACCAGGTATATATAGTTTAACAAATTTATAACGAATTTTGTGAGTTTAACTGAATTTACTATTTCAATTTCAATTTTGTATATATATGTGTGTGTAAATTATTTGAAGTATATGCATATTAAATTGATGTATGGATCATGATATAATTCATCCAGAAATTGTTTGAGTCAAATAATGAATCATAAACTTATTCATCCGAAATGACCTAACTGTTTATCCTTTTTGTTTTGTTTTTTGGAAATTAATAGCTAATATAATAATTATTATTATTTTTAAAAGCTTAAGTTTCTTTCGAATTTACATGATTTCAGTGTACAAATTTAATTTTGTATGTCTGTTTCGCATTTTGACCTATTGAAAAATATTTTTAGCCTTTTAGGGCTAAAACCAGATTCGATTGAAGAGGTTTGAATTTCTCTTCGACGAAAACTTACATTATTTGTACATGATTGAAATTAGAATATTTTTTATGTATATATAATTGATGTTGAACCCCTTCGGATTCTTTGTGTGTTGAGTTCTTCATATGTGAACCCCTAAATGAAAATTCCGTCTCTACGATTAATATTATTTTAAGTCATGTTGACCAAACGAATTATATTATTTTAAATCACTTTGACCAATCGAATTATATCATTTTAAGTCATTTTGACCAATTAGATTACATTATTTTAAGTAATTTAACCCAATGTTTAATGAGTCATTTCGAATTCAAATTCAATTGAACTCTTTGTTTTTTTTTCGAATTGTATATACATATAAAAGAAATTACACTCATTCTGAATCCGCTATTTTTTTATTAACCTATGTAGGTTTGGTTGCATGGCGGCTCAGATGAAGGCATTGTTTGATTCAACTGGGAATTTGTGGAAGGAGCAAAAGCTTGCTGGAAAGCCTGCTGGGTTTTTTGTGAGTAGTGGTAGTCAAGGAGGTGGACAAGAGACCACTGCGTATGTTCCCTTTTATCCTATGTGATGATTTTTTTTTTCCTACTATATTTATAGACTATTTTATCTAATAATAATGATAGCATATTAAGTATGATTCTAGATGTGAGGTCTGAGAAAGATGAAATATATATATATATATATATACGTGCAATGTATTTATTGGATAGAGATAATGTTTCTGATTGGCCTTAATCTTATTGTTAGTGAAAACTTACAAGATAACAAAAATACAAGATTACAATTGAAAATAAAATGAAGAAAATAAATCTCTTCAGGCTGAGGCGTGGATATCTCGCTCTATTTAAGGAGATTCAAGCCCACTGCAACAAATGTTTTCACCGGTCCAGCAGTAGTCCTTCTTGACTTGTCCCCTCCAGGATACAACAACATAATCACAAAAAATATAACTCAACAACTCTGGACAGGAGTTGAGTCCACAGCTCCACAAAAAGAACACCTCCCTTCAACTAATAAGAACTTTCTTTTTGACAAACTTTATACTAGAAGAAGTCTTCCTAGCAATGAATTGGAAGATAATAGTGTAGTAAATAGTGAAAATAAATGGTCTTAGATGTTACATAGATTACTTAGGTTATAAAGAATAATGGAGGAATAAAGAATGAGATAATGGAGAAATAATATAGAGAAGTAATGGCCAAGATGCCACTACCGATGGTGCAAGAAATGGTCATAACATCAGCACTTACTCCATTGTAATGCTCCACATAACTGCCCAACGGTTAAGACAAGAGAATTATCCACCAACGGACAACTAACAGCAAATGCAATACTTTGACTCCAAACATTTCAAGCAAATTAATATACAAAAATATTAATATTAAAATGCTGACCAACACTTATCTAACTATGTCGATTCAAAATTGATTTTGTAAATTTGGGCATTGAGGTTGTGTCTTGGCTTGGTTGGATTAAGTCTACCTAAAGATTTTTTTTTATATAGTCTGATATTGTTTGCTTTGGATCAAACTCTCAAAGTTGTCCTCATCTTGTATCATTAGAAGTATAACTATATATTCCTTATAAGTAGGACATTGCACTTAATGATTTTGAAAATTGATGGTCTTGAACTTTTGATTCTTGGTTGCCTCATGGATAAGTTTTGAAGGTTGAAAGTTAAAAACTTATTTTAATTGGAAGTATTGTTCATGGAGCAGGCGAGAGAAAATGATCAAAATGGTCTTGATGTATGAGGGTTGCTTTATGTTGATCCTTAATATATTCCACATGATCCATATGGTCCTTAATGTATTATTAAAGAGGATCAATTTGATTCTCTAACCTAAAAATAACAGATACATGAAAAAATAAATATGTTAACTTTAACCCTGACCTCATGTGCAACTCACCTGCAAAAATTAAAACACTCAAAAGTTTTCCCTTTCCCCTTCCCCCCTCATTTTCTATGTTTTTCCGATCTGTTTCAGAAGAGTTAGTTGGTATTATTTTTATTTTTTTTTGCTCCTCAGCCATCTAAAGGAAACTTTCCTCTTCTCATTTAACACAAAGCTACTATTTTTATTGCAAAATGTCATGAAAGATGTAGTTTTTCTCTTCTTAGTTCATCTCTGAATTCCTATTTGCTATGTCAATTCAAAGGTGATAAGTGATTTCTATTAGAAAGCAATTCTTGAAGTCTTTCATTGTCGTCGTGTAAGAAATCGATTATATTTGAAGACACATACAACAGATCTAATAAAATGAATGTGCTCATTAGAAGTACACCAGATGTGCTAATAAAATGTTTCAATATGCACCAAAAGTTTTGCATTGATTATAAGCACATATGCTCAATTTACATTATAATTCTCAATTTTGATGCACCAGGTATTCTCAATAAAATATGCACCGGGTATTCTCCACAAAATATGCATCAGATATGTTCAATTGGCACCAGATTTTACAATTACAGGGGAGCAAATTTTTAGTATAAAATCTGCACTTCAATTATAAGAGCTAAAGCACCATATTTTTGAGAAAAGAAGCTGTCAATACAATTACATACACCAAAGATTCAAGTACAAGTTCTACGATAACATATCAACTTATGATAATCGACTTGCACCATAATTCAAAAGATGGTTGAGGACCAAAAAAAATAAAATAATACCCACTAGCTCTTTTGAAACAGATCGGAAAAACATAGAGAATGAAGGGGGAAGGGGAAAGGGAAAACTTTTGAGTGTTTTAATTTTTGTAGGTGAGTTGCACATGAGGTCAAAGTTAAAGTTAACATTTTTTTTTCATGTATCTGTTATTTTTAGGTCAGAGGATCAAATTGATCCTCTTTTATAATACATTAAGGACCATATGGATCATGTGGAATATATTAAGGATACCCTCATGTATTAAGGACCATTTTGGTCATTTTCTCGAGCAGGCGATGTAAAAAGTTCAAGATCACCCACCTCTAATGTTTTTTTTTTGTTTGTAAATCAACATTAGAAATAGCGAACAATGTGCCACTGTGTTCACCTATTCAACAACATTATTCTTCAACTCATGATTCTAATTTAACAATTTCACGAATCATTTAGGTTCAACCCGCTGAGTCGAATTAACAAATGGCTCATAATCCAAACCAGGGGTCGTTTAGTTGGATGTCTTAGAAAATCTAATACACGTGTTAGTCATGATATAATTTAATTCTTTGTTTGGTAGAATTTTTAGTCTATATATAATTAATACATGCATTAGTTACACACCATATTTAGTATTATAAATTATATAACTAATACAAGCAAATCATGGTATGTAATCTTAGCTTAACTAATACCAACATTACTAATACACTCTATTCAATATTATTCTTATACACTCTACCAAATAAACTTCAATAAATTATTAAAAATGTATTTAAGTTTGGCCAGCTCTAATTGAGGTTTATATATATATATATAGTAATTTCTGAATATGTATAAGATTTATATAAAAGTTATTGAGTCAACGTGAATTTATAACTGACCTTCTAAATCCATCATGTTTGTATATTTAGATTGAGGTTGCATCTTGAGTCGATTATATGTTTTGATTTGTTCACATTCAATAGTACTTGATGGATCATTACGATATAACCCATTGAGTTAAATCAACAAATACTTCATAACTCGACCCGTTTAAACTTTGATGGATAATTAAAAATGAGTTAAACTTTCATACCTCTAACGAACGCATAACTTTAAGGCTAGCTCCTCCCCGACCTCTAATTATCTATATTTATTTGCAGTTGGACAGCAATCACTCAACTAGCACACCATGGAATGCTCTTTGTTCCAATTGGCTACACTTTCGGAGCCGGCATGTTCGACATGGACACGGTCCGAGGAGGTTCACCGTATGGGGCCGGGGTCTTCGCTGGAGATGGTTCGAGAGAAGCTACCGAAGCAGAGTTGGCGGTCGCAGAATATCAAGGCAAGTACATGGCTACAATTGTTAAGAAATTGGTTCATGGTTGATGAGGAAATTAAAGTTCCTTAACTATAAAGGCTATATATTGTTTATTGATTGCTTTGCACTTTGAATATATTGATTTCTTTGTTTTAAACATTGTTCATCGACATTCATTATTATGTTAGGGTGCTTGGCGAAGCCAATAAGCTGGTTAAACTGGTTTATAAGTATTTTTTCCAGTTATTTTATGTTTTAGGTAAATATTAAAATTGTGGTATGCGTACACTTTACTATCCTTTATGACCCCATCTTGTGGGATTGTAGTAGGTAGAGGCGTCAATATGGGCTAGCCCATTGGCCGGCTAGGCCTAACCCATAATTTGATAGGATCGGACTAAGATTTTTAAAGCTCGTTTAAGAAAAATATTTTTTAGCCTGGTCCGAATAAGCCCGTTGGTTTGTCGGACTCGAGCAATATAGGCTGGGCCGACCGTGGACTAAATAAAAATAAAATACAATATAAAAAAAGGAAAAACTACATAAACCCGTAATTTGATAGGATCGGACTAAGATTTTTAAAGCTCGTTTAAGAAAAATATTTTTTAGCCTGGTCCGAATAAGCCCGTTGGTTTGTCGGACTCGAGCAATATAGGCTGGACCGACCGTGGACTAAATAAAAATAAAATACAATATAAAAAAAGGAAAAACTACATAAATGAGTCATAAAACTCAAAATAATTACATGTTCATACCATTCTCTCAAAAAATAAATTAAGCCCATACCCCCAATTCAGTAAAGCTGATAATTTTCGCTTAACTGATACTAAATCAGTATCATATATTCTATTGGTATCATTAAGTGTGTGTATATATATATATAGTATTGATATCATTAAGATTTTTTGTTCAGAAATTATTCATTAGTCAATGATACTATAAGAGTATATTTATACTATTGTGGTATCATTAAGGTTTTTGAGAAATTACTCATTAATCAATGATACTATAAGAGTATATGTATATTGTTGTGGTATCATTAAGGTCTCTTATTCAGAAATTACTCATTAGTTAATGATACTATAAGATTATATGCATATTGTTGTGGTATATATCATTAAGATTTCTTGTTCAGAAATTATTCATTAGTCAATGATACTATAAGAGTATATTTATACTATTGTGGTATCATTAAGGTTTTTGAGAAATTACTCATTAATCAATGATACTATAAGAATATATATATATATGTATATATAGTCAATGATACTATAAGAGTATATGTATATTGTTGTGGTAGTCAATGATACTATAAGAGTATATGCATATTGTTGTGGTATCATCAAGGTTTCTTGTTCAGAAATAACTCATTAGTCAATGATACTATAAGAGTGTGTGTGTATATATATAAATATAGTATCATTAATGTTTCTTGTTCAGAAATTACTCATTAGTCAATGATATTATAAGAATATATATATACAAATAAACATTACTGACATTCAAAATAATAAAGCTATAACTAAAAAAATATGAATTCAAAACTAAAAGCCATAGCTAAAACAGATTTCATAATTTCGAAAAAAATGTACACTAATTAAATTAAAGTATAACAATAAATAAATAAAAAATTCAAAACACGCTAAAACAGACACGTCGACGTGAAGTCACTCTTATATAATAAGAGAATTGTACACTAATTAAATCAAAGTAGAAAAAAAAATTAAAAATATTTTTTGAAACACGCTGAAGCAAGCATGTCGACGGAGACATGTCTGCTTCTTCTGAAGCCTCTCTTAATATATAAAAAGAGAATATTACACAGCCTATATCAAGAAAAACGGTTCCTATATCAATTTGACTATAAATTCAAACAAGACATAAATTAAATAAAAATTAAATTCTTAATAATTTTGAATTTTCTACAACTTTAATTTATTTTTCCAACATATTGGAAGCGGGTTTAAGGATGGTGGTGGTCCCAATTAAGAAAGTAACACATCAACACTACTAATGATTCTTGTATTATTCATTAGTAAAAATTAAAGTTGATCATAATGCAACCTTTGAAGATTGCTTAGCATCCCTTGGTCTTGGAAGTACTATGATTAGTGGAATGTCATGTGTTTTTAGTGGCTTAATAGCTGTAAGAAATTAGTCTGTTTATTCCATATTAAGTGATTTTTTGAGGTTATGTATATTTATAAAAAAAAAATTAGGATATAAATTGAACATCACTTTCCACTTTTACCCTTTTACTTTTTTTGTGAAACAATAATTGTCTATTATTGACTTGACACATAAATTAAGAAGCATGTACAATAAACTAGACAAGTATTATTGGACATTTCAAAATAATGTATAACAGACAAGTAAAGATGAGCGGATACAATAGTAAACTATTCTTGAAAATAGAAATTATTTAAAGTAAAATCATAAATATGAATAATTAACTCTCTTGAACTTATTAATATCTAGAAAAAGTAAATAAAAAACAAAAATGATTAGAAGTTCAAACATTTATCTAAAACTTTGAATAATTTACTTCTTTTGAATTACAACAAAAAAGCCCAAAAATTCTGTTAATATAAAATAGAGGGTATATGATTAAATAGGTAAATATACGGAGTAAATAAGATATAATAAACTAAAGAGGCCTAAAATTAATTAAGGTGTAATTAGTTTATCATGAAATGAGAAGGACCACTAAAGCACAAAACTTTAATCTCTTTTGAATTTTAAAAAAAGGAAAAAAGTCTGAAATATATTCGAACTTTGACCAAAATTATTGTAATAATACCAAACTTTGGAAATGATCTTTTACCCCCGCACTATTTAATAGTGTATTTTAAAGATATATATGTGCACACGTGGACAACATAAATATTGCATCATTATAAATAGTAACGTGTCCACGTGAGCACATATATACCTTTAAAATAACTATTAAATAGTGTAGGGGGTAAAAAGTCCTCCATAAAGTTTGATATCATAACAGCAATTTCGGCCAAAGTTGAAATATATTTCAGACCATTTTCCCTAAAAATAGGTAAATATAAAGGACACTTAAGTTTATGACTGTGCCACGTGATAATGATACTTTTGATATCAAATGTATACTAATTAAAACATTAAACTAATACTATTAATATTAAGCAACATAATTACGAGGATGATTCTGATTAGCCAGGAACTTGGTGGTCTTATCAAATTGTTATAACTCTCTCTGTCCATAATTACTTGTCCACTTTTGAATTGACACACCTATTAAGAGAACAATTATTGACATAGTGTGTTTACCATTTTACCCCTATTAATTATTAAGTCGATGAATTCAAAACTTAAGATTTTTAAAGTAATTAATTGAGGGTATAATAGGTTAAAAAATTGTCCTTTCTTGATTTGTCAAAATGGACAATTAATTAGGGATAATTATAAAAGGAAAAGTAGACAAGTAATTAAAAACAGAGGGAGTATAAGTTAATTAGCATTTATAATCCCTAGTTTGAGGATGGGAAACATGACCTTGACTTGTTGGGACAAACATGACACCAATTAATTAGCATAAATTAAACCAAGTTAACAATATTCCCTTTGGGTCCAAAATGATTGATTTCCTAGGCTTCTACTTATGAATTAAGAAATTTACTTAGCTTACTCTTAAAAATTAAGAGGGGTTTGATTGAGACGCTCTTAATTGCAATTTTCTTTTTAGGATTCATAATTTAAGGAGACGGAGAAATATTGATAATGATGTCACACATGATATTGAAACAGAGTGAGTAAGATGGAGGCTTCCATGAGTTGCATCTGGTGTACTATGCTATAAGAATATGTCGTCAAAGCTTAAAGGTAAGTTCTTATAGAGTGGTGGTTAGACCAATGTTGTTGTATGAGATAGAGTGATCAGTCAAGAACGCTCACGTGCAAAAGATAAAGATAGTAAAGATGGAGATGATCAGATGGATGTGTGGCACACTCAGAGAGATGATTAGGAACAAAGTTCTATGGGGCAAGGTGGAAGTGACATTAGTACTGGCGGACAAAATGAGGGAACCGATATGGTTGAGATGGTTTGACCACATGAACATCAGAGGTGTAAGAATACACTAACAAGTAAGTGTGAGAGGTGGTTGTAGCAGGACTTAGAAGAGGTATAGGTAGAATGAAGAAGAACGGAGAGGGGCGAGGGGTGGTTAGACAAGACAACACCCGTCGATATATTGAGGACATAATTTTAGGTAGGAAAGAGTGAAGGTCGAAGATCAGTGTAAAATATTAGTAGGTAGTTGAGTACTGATATAACACTCTATGTGGGAGAGAGAGTGGGCTAGTCTATTTCTCTCTTCTTATCCTTATAGTAGTATTATTTAGTTATCACGTAGTTTCTTATTTTTTTGCTTTGTGTTACTATATATTGTTGCATTTGCTTTGTAACTTGCAACTTTAATTTGTTGTCCCTTTTTTGACAATTTTGCGTCGGATATATTTCTTCGTCTGAGCCAAGAATCTACAAAAGTAATCTCTTTAACTGTCACGACCCAGGCCGTCGTGATTGGCACCCACACTAACCCTCTGGTGGGAGAACCACTACTGCAACCCAATCCAAGCAACTAAATCAAAAACTAAAGCATTTAAGTTACAAAAGCAAGTTAAATAACTAAAAACTGAAGTTACCATAAACTTCCAAAAGATCTAACAACTAAACAATGCGGAAAATACACCTAGAACCTGAAAGCCAATGTACCAAATCATCTAAAGTTCAACAAGTCTAAACAAGAAGGGATACAACCCCAAACTAATGCACTAATAACTAACTAGAAAAGTGTAAATCTGAAATGTGGACATAGACGATTGCGGTCTTCACGTTGTCAAACAATCAACATTCTTTCTTTAGTTCAATTTGTAGTCAATATGTTTTATACAAAAACGAACCCATGCAACGATTGGAAATCCTTTGAGAACCCATGGTATCCCGGAAGAATTGGCTCACCCTTGAATTCGAACGATGATCACTGATCTTCTAAGCGAGGTCTATCAATAGCCGTCGAAAGATGCCCTGTACTCA